AGAACAAAACTTTTTTCATTTCGGGTAGTAGCTGCGTGGAATGACCTTCCTCCGACGGTTGTCCATGCTCCTTCTCGAACCCAATTTAAAGCACTATTAGACGTTTATTTATGCGAATCCTCGCGCTGGCGAGCATACTGCCTCGCGCTGAGAACATAAAGAGCAGTGCTACACCCTTTTTTCACTTGTGCCTTTCAGGTGAACGACAGCCACTGACCGACAAGAACAAAACCGACCCGGGAAACTTGGGCAAAAGCCTCGATCCTGTGTATCAGTCCGTGAAATCCGTGAAGCTCACCCAGACTGACCTCCATGCTACTCAGCCAGCCAGGTAGCTAGTCTCATCGACAACTCTGTAAGCAGCCACGCAATACACCGATCTTTAAAAAAGTTAGTAACTTCTGCAAAGGTAGATATCCCATATCGAATGCAGGTTTAACACACAATGCGCAAGCGTCCCAATCAGAGTCAAATGACTGGGTTCCATCTTTCTTGCCTGCGGTTTCCCGTTGGTGCAGTTGATGCAACCTGCAATTCCCCGGAAATAAGTAACCATGCAAACATTCTGGGAGACAAGTGATCCGTTATTATCAATAAGTCACCATCTCATCTGTCTCACTGCTGCCATGTGGCAGGCAGTTATGTTTGCTGTATATCAAGCAATGTCAGATCGTCTAAACAGCACCCTGACAAATTTAATACATACCCAATATGAACTTCTGTATATGTTTCTTACCGTTGTACGGTTGACACAAGAAAAGAACCTGTGTGTGGCAACTTTAAATATTGTGCTGCGTGTCTGGAATAGAGCGATTCCACACAATGTTTTGCATTCCGATTTCCGGACTAAAGTTCCGCGCTGGATCAAATTACTTCATTTGAGTGAGTGTTTCGAAAATAAGTTGAAAATTAATACAGTTCCTCCACGGGGCTCGGGAAAAAACTTCGGAATCATCTAATAAGGCCCATTTTATCTGGGATGAAATGGATGATTTCCTGATGCACCATTTAGATGCTCCTGATTTGTGGCCATGGTGTTCGTTTACGACACTATGTAGGATTAGCGCTAACCTATCAAATCATCATTCACTTCTCAGTTCTCGCCATCAAATGATCGGCAGTTTTCTATGTTTTCGGTCAGTGTGTCTGGCTGAACCTCTCTTTTGTAAATAAGGGATGTTGATATATAGACGGGCTCCTAAGAGGTGATTGTCTCTACTAAATTCCTACACTTCTGTCATCGTTAAAAAAAGAAAAATGAGTTTTTGTTGTTCGTCATATGATTCAACAGGAAGCTACCCAAATAAACCGAAAAAATTTTGAGGGCTACAAGTGGAATATGTGCGGCCGGCTTTCATGAAAATAAAAATTCTATCTATTTGGGGCTCAATATAGACCAGTGTCCCAGTTACTGCTAACCACAGAGCTTCCGTGCTTTATTCCGCCAAAAATTAGCAATCCTTCTGACCGCTTATCACCTGAAACAATAGGTTTTGTTTTACGGAACGCACAAAATGCATCTTGTATGCGTCCTCAACAGATAGATGATGAGTGTCCATCACCTAACACCGCATTTACAATGGGGCTTCAGTGAAAAATTCTACCAATTTGAAATCAGACCCCAACAAGGTTAGTCGAAATCAGCTGTAAGCCCAACACTCTGTTTGGACAATGTCGGCAATACTAAGCTGATAGATGAGATCAACCGTGGTGAGCAAAAGCGTATGGCATTGGTTTCCAAAAACCGAGGAAAGGACAACATACAATTTCGTTGGTAGTTTGAAAGCGGCCGACACTTAAATCAAAATGGGTTCAACATTCTAGGAAGTTGGTAATTAAATGTCATGCCTGCTAAATTCTGATCGAATATCCTCCAGATGTGCAGTCTAATTGCATCGAAATCTGATGAACACATCGAATTATTATTGCAGGTCATATATACCGTCTCAAGAGGAACAATCCTAAGAAACAAGAGAAAGCACTGCAGGTCAGTATTTCTTTGGACCACACAACTAAAAAGAAACTGCCCCACTTTCCTGGTATCTCAAATGGCTGGTGGGCACGATAATGATGGGGAAATTGTGGGTCAAGTTTTAATGGCTAACATCTTTGTGACGGAAATAATGGATGGACAATGTTATTCCACCGTCAAGTACAACAACAGTCACACAGCAGAAGGCCCATATTTCTGTTTATAGCAAGAAGCGCGGGCTACATGGTGTCCTCCATCGACATGCAGCAACAGGCTAAATTCGGCTACATCGTCATCCATTAATAATGGTGCGGTTCGGTGACTGATTGCAGGTCGTCTTGAAACATAGTTGCTCGTTGACTAACACACTCGTCCGGAATCGCTTGTCTCGTTTACCAGGCCGGCTTAATGTGCGCTCAGAAAGTTGTATATTTCAATGTGGGACAAATTTCTTATAGTCGTGTTATTAAGGCTTTGAAATTCTCCAGCATTAGATGGGAATTTACAGTGGGACGAGATCCTAACCACTTTTAATATTGCTGAGAGATTTGCCTGCGGCGCAACGCTAGTAGGCCAATTCAATTACTGGGTATTACAGCGGACATTGGCAGTGTTTAAATTTCGGAGAAACCATCATCGTCATCATTGTTAGCAGTAAGACCCGCGTACTCTTCGTACACTGGTTGTAG